AGACATATAAAATGTAGGCCTATCGGAGCATATTTTCGTTTCTGGCTGAGCTGTAATTAGCGAGAAGGCGATATAAAAATGCAATAGCATATCTTATGATGAAAATAGAACAAAATGATAATACTGCGAAGGTAAAAAAAGCCTTCAGGTTAGAATACCAATATGGAACTAGAGAAGGACAGTGGCTAGTTCTAACATGATTCCCGGTCTCATCTGCCCCGGCCGGTTGATCCCATTTTAGTTAGGCAAGCCTGGTGTGAATCACACGGAGGCGATTTTAGAATTAATTGACAGGATCCGTATCCATTAATAGGTTTGTAATATGAACTTTTTATGTTGATCTCCTACATAATTGTAAGTTATACTCCGCCTTATATTTCGTTAAATTATCAAGTTTACGTAACAAGTGCAAGCGAAATCCTAATTGACTGCCATGTTGGAAACTTCCTCAATCTTTCCGATATAGGTCAGACGTCTAAATATGGGTGTCATGACCAAATATGGAAATTGTAGTAAACATGACCGCATCAGTAGTAATACTATATTTGGCCGTGAAGGCCATATAAGGAAACGGATAACATCACGCGTGATCTAACATGGCCGTCGTTTCTTTTTTTAGAGTTTTTAGTAAGGATTTGTTATTTTAACGATGAACGAATATGCAATATTTTGATAACATTATAATCATATGAAGCGTGAATCAGATATATTATTACTGATTAGCACTTTTGATTATCCTCAGTTAGTTGGAACAGGACCGCTTCATAGCTCTGACCACGCAATATATAATTGTAAACAGGGACGTAAATGTCACCAATTTTAGCCAATCACAGGACAATATTTCCGTGTAAAGGGTTAATCCAGCGACAGTTCCAAGAGTAAATACGAAGTTTTAGAAGGATACTTAGTTCTAACTAAGAATAAGATTATATCCAATGACGTTTGAGTGAACTTGAGTCCGTGGTAATGGATTTTATTTGCAGTTTGTTTAGTATTACTAGAAGGTGACGTTATGTCTCGTTTATGAATATCTGAGCTCATTAACTGAAGTATTTTTACCGGAAGTTGCGTGTAGCATGCATGACCTACATTCAAGTAGCAGTTCCCGATTGAGATAAACAGGGTGCATTTTCAATAAGAATACGACGTTGTGATAAGATCATATGTTCTATAAAGAAAAGTAATGATATTTACAAGCCATTCAAGTGCATTTGAGTCCAAAGTTACGCATAATAAAGACAGTAGGTCCGGTATATGATTCAATTTAGTACCAGTGACTACCGCTAGAGGCCGTCTGTGTGAAATCGACATTTATGAATATCTGAGCTCATTAACTAAAGTAATACCAATAGCTGGCGGCTAACGCCTTAGCTAAAAACTAGCAACATAACAAACAATTTTTAACAAATTTCTCCCGTCGGAAATAGCGGTCATATGTTTCCGTGTGTCTATTTTGATTTAGTGTTCAAAGAAAGATAACTCGAATACACTAAAATGAAATTCTCTACAGTGACCTGCAAGAACAAAAGCTTCGTTTGGAGTAAAAAAAAAAAAATTGAACGTCAAATTAATTATCAAAGATCATTTTTTTAAATTTCACATTTTTAATTGATTTTTCAAGATGTCAAATTGAACAAATTCATGTAATTTTATAAATTTATTTATTTATTTATAATATAGAATCTGGTGGGGGTTTTCTGCAGTCTTATATCGGTTTTGGTTGATGGCAAGCTATTTCTCATTTTTTTCTGTTTAAAATTGGTGAAAATTGGAAGTTCGTTGCATTACAGGGTTTACGTTTCATTGAAAACAGTGTTTATCGATATAAGAATGTCTTCTTGGCTCTTCGGAAGTGGAAAAAAATCAGCGAGGAGATGTGGCCAATCATTTGCATATAACATTTCCGTACGTTTGTCAGACTACGAAAAAGACTGGTTCATGAATGAAATATATCACCGTTTTTTCAGGTATGGGTTCATTTTGAGCAAGATAAAAAGTGCATTAAGCAAAACTGTATATTGATGCGTGTTTTTTAATCAGTGATTAATTCTTATGTTTTCCGAACAAACTTCAGGAAGTTTTTGTGTCAGTTTACAGATGATGGCCAAACATCTAAAATATCCTTGTGTTGTGTCTAGCAGGTCACGTAGTTACGAGATATAGCTTGATAAAATGTCTGCGCGGAAATACATAACGCGCGGAAACAGGTGACTAGACGATACATCATTGTTTTTGTTACCATTTTTATGAATATCAGTAAACAAAATAAAGAAATATTTTGTTTGTGTGTATGTTTTGTTTATTTTAAAGAAAAAAAAACATATGATAAAAAGTTTATGATATGACCATTTTGATATCACACCCCCAATCAGCCCAGTCCCGATAGTCCGGCAAACGGCAGCTGTACATGGTATAGGAGTTAATCGGTAGCCGCAGAGTTGCGTATTTTTTTAACCGGAAATGAAGTATGTGAAAATGAAAGTAGAAGTTCAGTGTCAACAAATATGTGACTTAGTTGTAGTGGGATTTACATTATTTTAAAAAGAAATAGGAGGTATATAGGGGTAAGTGGTGGAGAAAGGGTTATTAGTATGTATTTCACAACGGAAGGAAAATAATTCCTGCATGTATAACTTACTGTTTAGTCATTAAAATGTTTAAATCTGTATTGTCTTTCCTGATTTTCTTTTCTTTTCAGTAATTTTATTGAATTGAATTACTACACCTACAAAAAGGATCAGAAGCCTTTGATAGCGGGTTCATGAATTCAAACACTCAAAACAATGCTTGTAAAATTACTTATGAAAACTTTTTTAAACAATCAATGTATGTGGGTTAAATGTTTATAATATCGAGGACATATTACATCAATTTTCACAATTATTACACATGCAATTCACAAGAATTTAAAATAACAAATTTACTTTAGGTTATCGACATTTATTTATTGTTTCAGTTTGATAATACACAAGTACTTACTTTCACAGACCCATCTTCAGTGTCAATNATGTGACCAAAAAGGCACAAGCCAGATACATCCATGGTAACATCATGCACTTTATAAGTATTTAAATATATGAATTCATGGTAAAACATATTTATCTAGTCAGAAATCTAACCTACCTGTCAGACTGTCAAAATAATAGAAACTGAAAAAAATAACATTGAGGCTAACTCAAGGAACACCTCAAGTTCTTTTCAAAGCAATTCCACATCATGATCCAGCAGTCCCAGCATATTATTTGTTTGA